ACGCCACTAGTTCGGGAATCTATCAACCAGCAGCTGGAGTTTCATCCGCGGGACTTCAGCATTGCCAGGTGAGTTGTCCTCACTATACCAACAGGGTCGAAGGCACCAATGCCGGCCCTTTTCGGATTTGTATCTGATTTCATTTCATGTTATGCTTTATGATATGTATCCTGGTTATAGGATGGTTGCTATGCTAGTGATTGGTTAGATCGGTATCCTGGTTATAGGATGGTTGCTATGCTAGAGATCGGTTAGATTAGTATCCCGGTTATAGGATGGTTGATATGCTAGTGATTGGTTAGATCAGTATCCTGGTTATAGGATGGTCACTATGTTAGAGATCATTTAGATCAGTATCTTGGTTATAGGATGGTTGCTATGTTAGTGATTTGTAAATCTGTATGTTATATGTGCTTGCTGGTTATCATCCATGGAGTGCCCTTAGGGACTGTCGGTGGGCACGTAGGATAGCCTGAGAACCCTTGGTCTAGGCTCTCTTGCATGTTCCTTGTTTGGTTGTGGCTCTAGAGTAGGACTATCTGTTCGGGTGGCTATCTCACATCTGGTTACTTATGGTTACGCATTCTATGGGGGTTAGCTGGTAGCAGGACTGTATGTGGTTTGAGGATTAGTAGGCAATAGTGAGTTGTATGAATGTTGTTGCCTGTATCATGTGCCTACTTGATCATGATCGTTTATATGTCGACATATTGTGTTTGGCTGGGTTGAGGCGGTCCTGCTTTGTGCTGAAGGCCAACAGACCCAGGGCGGACCGGATATACTGCATACCCTTGGGGCATATTAGTCAGGCCGAAGGCCCAGAGAACGGTCCAGACAGTAGCGTTTTTGTACAAACGATAAATATTTATAATACTTAAAATGAGACTGTTGTCTTTTCTTTATGAAATATCTAATAGCTATTTTGACAGTAGCGTTTTTGTTTTACAATAATAAGATTTGAATGACTGGTTTTAAATAATCATTCTGTAAAATCATTTTAAAACCAGTACTATATATCTTTATACACTAAATTTAGTATTATGTTAATAATGCAAAAGTTAAACCATAATTTTTTTTGTTTTATTAGGTGTCTTAATTTTAAAAGTTATATAATTATTATTTAAATCTAATTACTTATTTAGTTTGTTTTAAAATAATTTACATTATAATCGTAATTAATTATTTGTGGAATAAAAGTAGAATGATAACAATATATTAATTTATTTTGTATTTATCATATATATATATATATATATATATATATATATATATATATATATATATATATATATATATATATACACACACACACGCACACACGTTATATTATAATATAAGTTTATAAATAAGACACAATGTGGTTACCACCTTATAAAAATAAAAATAAGATTACAACCAATTAATCGGTTTTCTATTTCATTATGATCTTTAAACGGTTAATTATGTTCTAAAATTTTGTTATATGAAAATTTTGTCTAAATATATAAAAGTAATAATGTTTTAGTTTGTCAAATTATAAAAGTAAGTATGGTTTATGTTTTTCATATATGAAAATCATATTATGAAAAAGAGTACCAGCATCAACATGTTTTAAAATAAACTTCACATAGTATTTTAGTTTTTAAACATATATTTTGAAAAAATAACTATTTAGTTTGTGTAAGATTAATGTATACTTATATATGAATGGGAGATGATACAAGAACAATATATTTCGTGTTCTTTAAAGTATAGGATGTTCCTGCTAAGAACATATACAAATCTGCGTTCATAAATAAGTCCCATTTTTTAATGAATTTGCTAATATTTATTGCAACACACCCTCCTTCTAAACCTTAAACCCCTAAATAATCATACGAAACTAACCATCGAAAGAAACTATTTGGTACCCCTGCATCACTAATAGTCAAAATAAACTATTCTAGAGATTTGGTCTAAGGATTCCTCTATGTCCGCATGAAGATGACATGTTCCCATTCAAGCTGATAAGAAAACAATTTCTAATCTGATTATGTTTTGCGATGACAATCAATAAAACTCAGGGACAAACAATTCCAAATGCTTGTATTTATCTCCCATAATAGGTTTCTCGCATGACCAACTTTATATGGCATTGTCTAGAGGGATATCGCATGCCAATAAAAAAGTATTAGTGAACTCTAACGAACAGTTAAATGACAGTGAAGTCTATACATCAAATATGGTCAACAAAGAGGATATCATTGCTCTGTATGTATTTATCTTCCAGAATCGTTTGGAGGCATGACCATTTTACCTGGAGGTGATTTTATACATTTTTTGGCAATACAAAGAGGCAATCTTTCAGATATTATCCAGACATCATGTTCATTCAGATTATGGCGTAAATGTATGGTTTTACGTTTAACCGTAAACATGAGGCTTTAGTTTGGTTGTCTAACTAATGTTTTGGATGAGACAAAAGTATTTGATGAGTAGATTCTTAAAATTGTTGAAGGTAATACCGGTGGCCCAAATGATGGTGAATCTGAAGTTGAATTTTCAGAAGACATTGTCGTTCGCTCTGTAAGTAACCATATATATTAATTGTGTCCACCATTTAGCCATCCTTTGAAAATCATCTTGATGATCCATCATATTTTCAAGATAAACCTATTTTGGTCCTTACAAATGAAGAATTTGATGCTACTTATGACTACATTTTAGGATTTATGAAAGATAAAGGGAAAAAATATATGAGTTCAAATTCTTTACGTGAGACAGAGTTACTAGATTTTTTTTGAGGAATCAATCTACTCTTCAATTGTGTTGAATGGTTTTAAGGCATCTAGAATTTCCAACCATAAACTTACACTAAAAATAGGTGTGTAGGCCCGTCTTCACTCATTTTCAGTTATATGTTTTTTGTTTCTTGCGTCACAAGTAAAACATGATTGAAGGTACTCATATATGACGAGGGAGTTCGTCTAACTAATACAACAAAAAGTTTTATCTACAAAGTGGTCCTTCAACGATTATACATATTCAAGTGTTTCATTGTTTTTTTTCAGACATTTCAATGATACCAATAATGTTTAAGCCTGTTTCTGTTACTTTATCTTTTTTTTAGTGTCGGCTTTTTATACCTTTATATGTACATTTTTATATATTCCTCCGTGATTTACGCAGGTCATAATCTATTGTAATACTATAACCATGTGAAAGTTGATGTATTCGAGAAAACTCATGATCCTCAAAAGTTTTGATGATTTTGTTTTTTGCGAAAATAATTAGGTTAAATTTAAGACCGTAAGAAATTAGGTTTCAATAATGATGATCATTCGACATCATGTTCACGATTCACGAACTAACTAAAAGTGGTGACCCCTATAGTCATTTGGTTAAACTTATAAAAAAAAAGATATTTCATTTAAGTGTTTCAATAGATTTGGTGGTTTTTGTAATTACATAAAGACGTTAACGTCTATGGAGGATTCGAGATTTTTGTGAAAATGATTTGTTCAAATTTAAGATAATAAGACATTAGGGTTCAATAACAATGATCATTTAACATCCCGGTCATGGTTCACAAACTAAGTGAAATCGTAATTTTGATAAACTAACAAAAAAAATGGATATTTAATTTAATTGCTATAAACAATTTGGTGATTTTTGTTAGTACACACAAAAATATAATTATTATTTTATCTATACTATTGATGCATAAATATCATTAGTTACAGCAAAAAAATAAATAATAATAATAATAAATATATAAAAATAAAATCAAAAGAATCAAAACTTTGAACAGCTTCGAGCGTAAGGCATGTAACTACGAAGGAACATGTTAACAATTTAGTTGTTCAGTCTCTGGTGTTGATTAGCGGTTTGACCGTTTCCCCGCTGACTTTAAAATTTTTGTTAGAATACGCCCCAATTTACCTTCATAAAAAAGAACACCGTCGATTCATAAAGCAAACTTCTCTCCGGCAGTCTCCCTTCCTCCCTCGTTGACTCGCCGGTTTCCTGCCAAAAAAACCTCTGTAATTTTCAGCGGTCATCTTGCTCAACCTCCTCACTGTGTCAGGTCTCCTTGAGGTAACTATGAAGGGACATGTTTACAATTTAGTTTCACATGTTGTTAGACAATTTCATCTTATTAATCATAAATCACATCATAATCATTTGTTTATTTCGTTAACAGATAATGAATTTTGTCTGTTTCAATTACTGTCGTTCAGTTACTTCTGAGTGTTTGAAATTCGAACCTTAGAAAGGAGATGACTTTTTAGTTGGAATCCTTTTGATGTATGCTGATAATAAATCTAGTGATAAAGAATTCCGAAGCTGAAAAGATTTGTGCTGCTAATTTCTGGGATCTATGAACAACCATGTCAAGAAACTAACTTTTTTTTTTGTTTAGATCTTTTAGTTGTTTGTTCGTATCTAGTGCAAGCTTGAAATTTCCTATATGTATTGCAATTTCCCTTGTTGGGGGGTACTAATGAATCTTGTAGTTGTTTACAAAATGGTATTTGGTGTTGATTTGGTTAGGTGAACTTCAAATGGATTTTGTTTAGACAATAGTAGGGATGTTTATGTGGGTTAATCAGATCGAAATCAAGGGTTAAAACGCACATACACATTACGCGGTATATAGCTCCAAAATCAACTCGAAACTTGATGTTTGGGAATTAAAAGTGGTATATTAACACAATTAGAATTCATATGTGTTGTATTTTAATCTGTTTCTTTTTGAAGAATTCAAGGGTATTAATATTATTGAGTTTCAAATAATTTGATGAGATTTAAGTTGCATATAGTAGATACTAATATTTTGGATTTTATGCAGAGGCATTAGGTACTAGATCCTGACATTGAAGCACAAGTGAGGAAAGCGGTTGAAACCAACTTTCATAACAGATAATATGTGGAGATGTTTCAGAACTTACTGAGATACACCCTGTATATAAGGAGAAATTTATTTAAATAAATACACAAAATCATGGGAAGGGTGAAGTGTCAATAACCCACAACTCATAATGGTTGTTCTATCTGAACTTCCAGAAGAATCTTCTTCTTCTGTGTCAACTCATGCCCATAGTCCATCAACTCATGACCATAGTTCATCAATTGATGGTCATAGATATGATGTATTTTTAAGTTTTAGAGGTCTTGACACTGGTCTTAGTTTCACCAATTACCTTTATGAGGCACTTATAGAGGCCAATATTAGTACCTTCTTGGATGATGAAGAGATTGAAACAGGGGAAGATCTGAAACCGGAATTGGAGAGTGCAATTAAGGCATCTCGGGCTTCTATTATTGTGATGTCTAAGAATTACGCTTCTTCAACATGGTGTCTGGATGAATTGGTGTTGATCCTTGAGCAGCGTATCACATCCAACCATATTGTCATCCCAATATTTTATCATGTGGAGCCCGCCCATGTCAGGAAGCAACAAAGTAGCTTTGGAGATGCAATGGCTAAGCATAGACAGATGATGGAGGCAGAGACAAATGCAGATAAAAGAAGTCAATGGGCTCAAAAGATGGAACAGTGGAATAAAGCGCTTGTAGATGTTGCTAATTTAAAAGGAAATGATGTCAATGGAAGGTAACTACTTTCTTACCCATTTCTTCATGTCTGTAATTTTGTTTAATTAACGCATGAAATATCAATATCATGTTCTCCCTATGCATTTCAATAAGTTTTTTGATATCATTAAATAGACATGTGTATTTGATGTATTAGAATAAAGAAGATGCACGAAGTTGAATCTATGTTTTCAATTATGTAATCTCATAAATGATAAATGAGTTTGTTTAGAGTCAACATGCTGGTAATTTTTGTCACATTTGTAATGCATTTAGTAATTTATCATAGGTTAGTCCGTTTAAATAAACCATGTCATTCTTTTTCTATGCTTCTATTGAAAATCAATTTTAACCGTTTGCTATGGGTCAGCTATTAAAAATACAATACCATAACTGGCCCTTTTTTAGACGTAATCGTAAAAAATAAACATAAAATACCATTCTAGAAAGATAACCTGTAAGTAGTAAAAGATAACCTACTTTTTTTGGACGCACCTCTTAGATAGTTAAGTTTGATAGTTTTATAGAAACATAGTAAAGTTATGGTAGAGCTTGATATTTGAAATTCTCAACTCAAAACAAGAGATCTGTGTATTAATTGAAAGCAAGTGACTCAAAACAATCAACAAGGAAATTCAATTTGTGGATTCCTCCTGTTTAAGATTGAAGCTGATGAACAATAATTCTCCAAGGAAAATTCTAGACAATTGACATTATGCAAAATCTACTCACTAAACAATCTCTCTCTCTCTCTCTCTCTCTCTCTCTCTCTCTCTCTCTCTCTCCCTCCCTCCCTCCCTCCCTCCCTCCCTCCCTCTCTCTCTCTCTCTCTCTCTCTCTCTCTCTCTCTCTCTCTCTCTCTCTCTCTCTCTCTCTCTCTCTCTCTCTCTCTCTCATTTCACTACATGTCCTTCCTTGTATATTTTTCTTCTGGAGACTATCCAAGGCTTAGGCTCATTAGGCTTATCCAAAATATGGCTTACGTGAGTGTGGCAGTGGTTTAGGATCCTTATCAAGTTAAATGGCCCGTTAGTGAAATCTTGTCTTACATTGGTATGCGGCTTTGGTCTTATTATACATATATTTATGACCATACACTCTAGATGCTTATATTGTTAGAAAGTGAAAACACAATATGGTTTTGATGCAAAGAACCTAATTAAAATTAATAGCTTTTATATAATTGATTTGGATCTTTGGATAAATTAAATTTTCCTAATCTATTAGTTACTTTTGTAGATTTTGTTTTGAAGTTATTATTAAATTATTTTTCAGGTTCGAGACAGAGTTTATTGGAGAAATTGTGAAGGACATCTACCGTAGATTAAAAGTACCCCTAAGGAGCGCTCAACCGCTACTTATTGGGATGGACTATCATATTGACTTTGTCACTTCATGGTTGAAAAATGGATCCTCTCATAGGGCAGACATACTCATTATTTTGGGTATGGGTGGGATCGGAAAGACAACTTTAGCTAAATATGTCTATGGGTTACATTGCCGTGAATTCCATACAAGCAGCTATATTGAAGATATTACTAGGAAATGTGATGGAAAGTTTAATGGGTTGCTTGATTTACAAGAACAACTCTGTGGTGACATTTCAAAAACAAGTTTAACTAAAGTTCATGATGTTTTAGCATACACCTCAAAGATAGAGAATGCAGTAGCTCATAAACAGGTATTTCTTGTTCTTGATGATATCAGTACTCTTGATCAGTTGGATGCATTGCTTGGAAGCAAAGGTTTTCACCCGGGAAGCAAAATCATTATAACAACAAAGGACGCATGGTTGACAGAGAGTTGTGCACTTTTCAAATCAAATATAAAACCCAAGAAGACAGAGGTCTTGCTTCAAAGCTTACATGAGACTGAATCACGACAACTTTTGTGTGTCCATGCATTCATGTGCAACTATCCTAAGCCAGGGTATGAAGAGGTGTTATATAAGCTTGTGAATTATTGTCAAGGACATCCATTGGCTCTTGAAGTTTTGGGCAAGTCTCTACACAATAGAGATGTAGCCTACTGGGAAGGGTGTATAGAAGTTCTAAAGAAAGAAACAAGTTCCCCTATAAATAATGTCCTGAGAATGAGCTTTGATTCTTTGCCGTCTAACAATGATAAGGAGTTGTTTAAATATATTGCTTGTTATTTTATTGGAATAGATAGACATGTTAGTGAAACAATTTTAAAGGCATGTGATATAAACACGAAATCTGGGATCACAAATCTCATTGACAGATTCCTTCTTACTATTGGATGGAACAACGAATTAAACATGCATCAGTTAATTCAAGATATGGGAAGATGCTTAATACGTCAAGAATCACTTGACAAACCATGGAAGCGAAGTCGATTATGGTGTCATGAGGAGTCATTCAAAGTGTTAAAACAAAAAAAGGTAAGAGACAATGTAAGCTTGCAAATAGTGTGTATATCCAAAGTATTTTGTATTTTCTGATTCTTTTATTTGATTTGTGTTTGTTGTTACTTCTTAGGGAACAGGAAATCTTGTAGGCCTTGTCCTTGACATGCGAATGCTTGAGAAAGAGAAGGATGCATCATTTGAGCTAAAGACAGATGCATTGATTAATATGGATAATTTGATGCTACTACAACTTAATTATGTGCATATGAATGGATCCTATGCGAACTTTCCAGAGGAATTAAGAGGCTTGGCTATGCATGGTTTTCATCTAAATTCTATACCTTTAGACTTACCTATGGAGAATCTTGTTGCTCTTGACATGTCATACAGCAGTATTGAATCATTTGTCGGTTGTTATAGTAATCCACGACTTGAGAAGAGACAAAAGGTAAGTTATCTTTGTTTATCATTTTTCCATGTTCAGTTTATAAAATTCGTTACTATTCTAACTTATTTCCATTTTTTGTAGTTGGATGGGTCATGCTTAAAAGACAAAAAGTTGCTTGGATCATTGAAAATTCTTAATTTAAGTTTTTGTAAACAACTTCGTAGTGTTGGTGACTTTGACCAACTCCCTGCACTTGAGAGGTTAATCGTTAGAAAATGCATTAGTTTGCTTGAGGTTTGTGAATCAATTGATCAATGTGTTGAACTTTTCTTCGTGGATCTCAGCTCTTGCGACAAGCTTGAAAATCTTACAAACATCATAGGAATGTTAAAAAAGGTTAAAACTGTGTTGCTAGATGGATGCAATCTAGGTGAATCTCGAATCAAGAATATGGATATCAAATCACTGGAAATGTGCAAGGATAGTAACATTGGCATATACAAAGGAACCTCTTCCTCCACCTTTGTGCGTGCTATACCAAGTGATTTGAAGTTGTTTTCAAGTTCTTTATCATGGTCTTTAGTAAGTTTGTCGCTTGCAAATAATAATTTGTCTAATGAATCCTTTCCCATGGACTTGGGTTGCCTATCCATGTTAAAGAAATTATATTTAGATGGCAATCCTATAAACTCCATGCCTAGTTGTGTGAGAACCCTTCCTAGGCTTGAGATACTTAGCATGAATAACTGTGAAAAACTGAAGTCAGTTGAGCATCCTCCACGTACACTAAGCAGGTTATTGCTCTATTCTGATCAGCAGCAGTTTGTAGAAAAAGTTGTATTTGATCCCGAAATGTCTCCACTAGAGTTATCATCAAACTGGAGGGTAGGTTATACACCTTGGTCATATGAAATTGAAGGTATGCTCAAAATCGAAGCAATGGTATGTGTTGAGGAAAAGGTATTACGTAGCTTGGGATGGACTAATGTAGACTTCTTTAAGGAGAGAGGCGTGCAAACTAACTCTCCGGAATCTAAAATCCAGGTGTTATGTAGTTATTAATCTCTATTTATGTGAATATGTATAAAATAATTATTATGGTGATTAATTAATGTGATTGTATGTGGCAGACAATGTATTATGAATTTGGAATATTCAGCACGTGGTATGAAGAGGAGAAGATGCCGAGCTGGTTTAGGTATAGAAGTCTGGGGACATCAATATCATTTACCATCCCATCATCATCTCCAAAAAACCTTACAGCACTCAACTTCTGCTATGTACAGACATTGAAATCTATCGATGAGTGGTTGGAATTTTCATATGATCCTCAGTTCCCTCGTTCACCAATGATCACAATTAGTAATATAACAAAAAACCGCATGTGGATATACGAGCGTCACATGGACAGAGTTATTGTAGATGGAAATTATTGGGTGATGTTAAGTCATTGGATGTTTGGGATGAATGAGATGGAAGCTGGTGACCACATTACTATCACTGTTACAGAGCCAGATGATGAACTTGTAAAGGAGTGTGGGGTGAGTCTTGTGTATGATGATGGAGAAGAAGAAGAAGATGCATTGGGTTATTACAAGTCATGGAATCACATAATTGGTGGAGATCTCTCCCCTTTTCAAACAACAACAGGAGAATACATCCTAGACAATATGCGGTTTTTTGCTGATGGCATTCACTTGTTTCCCTATCATCGAAAATTCGTTCCAGATGGTCCCAACTTTCAAGGTAAATGTTATTTTTATTAAAAAAATTATTTGTTGAGTCTTATGTGTAATGATCCGACCAATGACCCAGTTCTCTTAATAGATTGATAATGATCCATTTATTATAATAGATGGATCATAATATAAATCTTTTAAACAAATGGATCATATGACCCAAATCCACCCATGCATTATTGATTTGATTGACTTATAATAAGATAGGATTTTGTTTTTATAAAATATAAAAAATAAAAGTTCTACTTTTAGTTTATAAGATGAATAGACCCTAGCAATGATCCATCTAAATGGGCCGCTTTGTTATTTTACTTGATCAAATATTTTGACATGTTAGATCATATAAATATTTTGGGACCCACTGGATTTACTTTGTCCAAATGGATGTGTGTGTATAAATTAACACGTTACTTTTTATCTGTTTTAACTGTTCAGAAAAAAAGGGAATGTGGTTTAGAGCTTTATCTCCAAGGAAGCCGGACATAATTGGTCGCTTAGGTGAGGTATACTTTCTAATGCCCAAACCTTTCTCTTATCGCATGAATAAAGGGTATACACAGCCAAATATGTTATCTATTATATTTTGATTGGGCTAGGATGTAACAAAATAGAAGTAGTTATAGCATTTCAATGGATGCTTGAAAATAGCAATATTTAAATGTAGTTGGGTCTGATGAGATGGGGGCATGAAGCTCTCGTCCTTACATACTCATGTGGAGCATGTCAAGCAAACTGTAAAATATTTTGTAGTCGAGTGGGAGCATATGGAATGCAATGGAATGTTGTACAACTTTAAACAGGCCTAACCTTTTATGGACATACCAAGCCCTAATTCCTTCATTTAGGACTCTGAATTCAGTGTTTTTTTGTTTTTTTATTTTATTTTATTATATTTGTTTTTTTGTATGCCAAATACATGATATATTTGGCTGTTGTTATCAATTATTTTTAGTTGATTAGGAATTTCAAAATTTTGGCTGTGCCTGCCTAAATAGAACTCTCCCTATAAGACATTAAATTTTAAAATTTTCTTACTTTTCTTATATTCATAGGGTAAGGGGGAATCTTCAAGGTCTCATCCTTCACATGAAAATGCTTGAAAAAGAGCGGCTGTCTCATTTGAAAATAGATTCATTCGTCAAATGGGTAACCTATGCTACTGCAACTCGATGAGTTCTATCCAAAATTTCCACAAGTAAGATGGTTTGCTCCTCAGGTATTTGAATTTTTCTTTGTCATCCACCATTCCCACCACGAAACCCCATCTTGAACCAACACCCAAACTCAGTGTTGAGTTGCCTTGAATTTATGTTAGACCATGTATATTTGAGCAGTGAGAGTATACAAGAAGGTATTGATTTGTACTTTTGTTTCATTTTTAATTCAGTTATTTAAATCGTTTTTCTTTTCTTTCGTTTTTTTTTTTTGAAGAATGAAACACATTGTAAACGTATTTGTTTTGTGTTCGTGGAGAGGACTCACCAAATGTCTAAAAATGCTTAAATTTGAGAATAGTTTTAAAATTTTAAAGAACAACTAAATATGAAGAGTATTTTTCCCATGCATATCTCATATCATTAATATAAGTATGTTTACATATGGGCTTTACAGGAAATAATCAAAGTAGGTGATGTGTGTAAATTCAACTAGTTTTATCCCTACTTTTTATTAATAATTTGAACACACAAAGGCAGTGAACCTGTCTTTAAGTGGTATAGATTGATAAGTAAGGTATCGAACTCAGGGAACAGAAATTAAACTAATAGCTAATTTTAACTAAAACAAATAATAAAAGTAAATGGTTTTTCTCTAGTTTTGCAAGACTAGAAACTTAAGCAAACTAAATTTAACTAATTAACTAAAGCAACAACTATTCACCAAATTTGATAAAGATGTTTCTATTTAGGTTCAACCAATTCCCTCCTATGGTTATTTAAGTTAAGATAGATTAATTGCTGTTGGTTACCAAAGATAGTAGTTAGGTTCACGTTCATTACTCCTAACCCTTAGACAATTAACTAATTTAAGCGTTGATCAAGTGTTTAAACTAATTAATTCTCTAGATTAATTATTTGGATTAAATAAGATTTGTAATGGTCAATTAAGTTATTAATTCAATTAACCTCTTGTTGATGGTTTCTCAAACAAGCTCACACATTAATCTTCCTATTTTCTTATTAATCTTAGTTTCATACTCATTACTTCTAAGCATATGTTTTAGTATTCACATAGACATACGAGGTTAACAATTAAGTGATGTTCATGCAACCTAATTGCCTTCCAATTAACAGAAAATAGTAGTGATTAATACATAAGGTTCTTTAACAAACTTAATTTAATAAATCACCAATAGACAATTAAGCAAAATTCAATAATTAAACCATAGGAGTTCTTTGATATTCCCCAAACAGAAACAAAAACGAGTTTAGCTCATAGTTGCGGTAGAAACAAGCATAAAAACAAAGTTTATGAAAGCAAACATGTTTAATTCCTAAGTCTAAGAAGTAGAATCAACCTAATTAGTTGAATTCTTCCAACTCTTGAAGCTTAGGGTTCTCCAGCGCCTTCTGAACCTTTTAGTCGCAGCTAATTCTTCAAAATTCGCCAGGGGTTCTGTCCCATGTGATAAGGATTCGTCTTTTAAAGATATCTCAAAACAGAGGATACTCGGCGAGTAGCAGAATCAACTCGCCGAGTAGGTCAATACTTATCTGTCTCTAAATCAGCAGTCGTACATATCTCCTGGCATCTCATCGTGTACTCGCCGAGTAAGGTCGAGATACTCGCCGAGTAGGTCTTCCTTTTCACCCTTTAACCTTCACTTGCTTTCCCTTTTCTCCTTTTTGCCTCCAAGCATATTTTTTGGACTGAAAACACAATTCAAAGCATTTTAAGTACCTTTTGTCCATATTATTCTCATAACTAACCAAAAATAACTAAGAATATATGTTAAATAATTAACTAATTATGCACATATCAGTAGGCTTTAAAAAAATATACACAACTAAATATACACTAATAGCCCCCCCCCCCCCCCCCCCGAGTCAGAACGGGAGGTTCACGGATGTTCATACCGAATCTGAAATCAATAAATGATGTAGATGGTAAGCCCTTTGTGAAGATATATGAGAAGATGAGGGAACATGAAGCACACGAACTTAACCCAAGGCAACTTTGTCTCTAACAAAGTTAATGTCAATCTCTATATGCTTGGTTCGTTGATGTTGAACTAGATTAGTAGACAAGTATACCGCACTCACATTATCAAAATAAACAATGGTGACACGAGGTGGAGGCTGAAAAAGTTCATGCACAAGATTGGGAATCCAACATGTCTCAGCAACGACATTTTCTATCCCTCTATATTCAGCCTCAGCACTAGAATGAGAGATTGTACCCTGTCGTTTGGAAGGCCAAGAGATCTGGAGTTGAGAAACACATAATATCCTGAAGTGGGTTGTCTAGTAGTAGGACAACCAGTACAATCAGCATCCGAATAAGCAATAAGACCACGAGCAGGGGAATCATATAGCTGTAAACCATGATCAATAGTACCACGAATATATCATAAAATACGCTTGAGTGTAGAAAAATGTGGTTCCCGAGGGTCATGCATGTACAAACATATCCGATGAACAACATATGCAATGTCAGGGCGAGTAAACGTGAGATATTGGAGACCACCAGCTAGACTACGATACAAAGTCGGATCACTAACGGGAACCGATAGAACCAAGCTTCGTAGCTATATCAGTGGGAGTGCGAGAAGGCTTATATTGAAGCATGTGAGCACAGTCTAAAATCTCAAGAGCATATTTTTCTGAGACAAAAACATACCAGATTTGTCTCTTGTGACAACAATGTCAAGAAAGTAATTCAAATTGCCCAGATCTGTCATGGAGAACTCATTACCAAGAGTCAAAATAATATGTTGTAATAACTCAATGGAAGAAGTTGTGAGATCAATATCATCCACATACAAAAAGTAAATAGGCACTATGAGTTCCTCGTCGATAAATGAACAAAGATGAGTCGCATCGACTATTAGAAAACACTAGTTTTTTTAATATATTGAGCAAACCGCTGAAACCATGCTCGAGGTGCCTATTTAAGGCCATATAAAGATCTTTGTAATAAACACACTTGATCTAGATGTTGTCGATCCTGAAAACCAGACAGTTGATGCATATAAACCGTCTCAAGGAGATCACTGTGAAGAAACGCATTCTTCACATCAAGTTGACGGATTGCCCAATTCTGTGAAGCAGCCAAGGTAAGAACAATTTAGATTATAGTAGGTTTAACCAAAGGACTAAAAGTCTCATCACAATGAATACCCGGTCGTTAGCTATGACTGTTAGTAACCAGTCTAGCCTTGTATCGAGCTAAGGACCCATTTGCATGTTGTTTCTTTTTGAAAATCCATATACAGTTAATAATATTTGCACCAGGAGGTCGTGGAACTAGAGTCCATGTCCTATTTGAGATAAGATCATTATATTCCTCCTTCATAGCATCATTCCAATTTGGATCTTTAAAAGCTTGTAAGTAATTATGGGGAAATGGAGAGGAGGAATCGACATGAATATTAAGTCGATGAATGGGTTTGAAAGTACCAAGACAAGACCTTCTAACCATAGGATGGGTTGATGTGTTTGGAGCATTTGTATTTGGCGAAAAAGGGATGATGTTGCATTTCGATCATCAAGAAAGTCATATAAGGGGTTGGTGTGAGGTGTCATAGATCCAAATGGGAAAACCGACTCATCAATGATAACATGTCGGGATATAATAATTTGTTGAGTTTCAAGGTTTAGACACCAAAAACCCTGATGTTTTGTAGGATAACCCAAAAAAAATACAAGGTATTGATTTTAGTGCAAGTTTGTGAGAAGTGTGGTTATGGGGATAACATAAACAACCAAACACTTGAAGATGAGAATAAGACAGGTGTTTCTTGAACAATTTGAAAAAGGGTGTATCATTTTTAAGTGTAGTGGAAGGAAGTATGTTCAAGAGGTGAGCAGCCATATGAAGAGCTTCCACCCAAAACGTTGGTGGGAGATGAGCATGAAACAATAAAGTACGAATCATTTTGTTTATTGTCCTTAACATTTGCTTGGATTTGCCATTTTGTTGAGAGGTGTAAGGGAATGAAAAACGAATGTGAATGCCATTTTCATTGCAAAGGTGATGAAATTTGTTATTATTGTATCACCACCCCCACCCCCATTAGCACACTAAAAAGCTTGAATCTCTGTATGAAACTGAAATCAAACTCAAAACTCGAACTCAAATATGAATTTAAACCTAAAACCGAAATCAAACATGAAATTAAACAGATTGAACCTGGAATCATATCGAGTCAGGCTTGGTTTGGGCGCCGACGAGGGTAAAGGGCGAAGGTGAACCACAATCCTAGTGCAACCTAGCTCTATTTTATTTGTCGTGTCTGGTTCGATAACATGCTTCCCAATCTAAGTCTAAGATGGGGAAAGAGGCTAATGGCTCAAGTTTTTATCGTCTTGTTTGGTTCGAGTGCCTGCTTCATCTCCTCGTTCTTTGGCAAACATCGTCAGTATCCTCTGAGATTTTGAGATTTTTATGGTTCAGTTGGTGGGCTTTGAAGGAAGCACACGATGGAAAAACAACCATCATCGGAATCTGGTGGCCGGGGGCAATAGTTGTTGGTGGTCGACGATAGTAGGAGTCAGAGGCAATGAATGAAAAAGACGGGAGGTAGGAGAAAACATGAACGAGGGAATTGGGAAGTGGGGTTAGGTTTAGGATTTTTTTTAACATTTTTATATTTAATATATATATTAATAAAAAATAAATAAATCATTAATATAGAATTCTATAAGACGAGGGCAAAGTAGTCTTTATACATCTGATAAGAACCAAACGTACAACAAAAATATAAAGTAGGGACAGTTCCAGTTAAAAAAAAATTGTTAGGGACTAAACACGCAGATTACCCTAAACCACAACAATCATCCATGTAATTTACCCAAAAATAAATATAAAGAAATTCAAAATAAGCGAGTTTTTCACCGTATGAGTGTTTTTAAAAAAACTTATCTACCTAATGGGTGTACTTTTAAATATTACCATATAAGGTTTTTAGCAATTAAATAAAAAAAACATGGTGCCTTATTTTCTTACCATCAATGACGTTGCAACCAGCACACCTTTGATTATTTTTTCTCTCTCTTCCACATACCCAACCCAACTAAACCCAACTTCTTACACCTATTAGCAAACCAATTCAAACCTTTGAAGAATTAGTGTTGGATATCAAAGTATGCCAGTGATATACCTATTTATACTAAAAAGATAATTATAAAAAGTAAAGATAATGTTCTATTAGTTTATCTAAATAAAATCTAAGCATCCAATACAAAAGTGACACATAGAAATAAAGATAATATTCGATTTGGTAGATGACAAAGTGTCCTACTGACCTACTTACTGACAACTCCATGTGCAAAAGAGATTTATAAACAACATTACTTAATAAAATATATTACAAATACATGAAATACAAAAGTACAATATCTTACAAGTACATAACACACAAAACTACATAATAAAATATTTTACAAGTTAATTAAAAGACAAACTGGAAATATAAAACACATGATGACCGATAATTAGTTTCCATAAAACTTCGACATTAGAAAGTGTTTCATGTTTTCTTCTTCAAGCGATAAATGCTCCTTTTGTAGCAATGTATTCAAATGCAAAAGTTGCATCTTGACGAGTTCCCTTTCATCTGTTTTTTGCTCCCTTTCCTTGTCTAAGTCGATTCTTTGTTGCTGCATTTCTTTATCCAAGTCGATTCTTTTTTTCATGACTTCAAGTTCACTTTCTCTAGCAAGCCTCATTGCGCGAAGTTCTGTAACAATTTCATTAGAAGCCTTACCTTTCCCTTTTTTTTGTTGCATCTCTACGTGTTGGACGTTTAACCGTTGAACCATCACTAGTTGGGGTTTCTGGGTTGGAATGGACACAAAACTCCCCTTCTTCAGTAGTCTTTGATCTTTTTGAGCTACCACCACTTTCTTCATTACCCACTTCACATTCAGGACGGGAACGTGTTGTGTCACGATCTAACTCTAAAGCCCACTAGTGATGGGTAATGTCGTTGAACTTATTCCCACTCGCCTCATAAAGTTTAGGAGCCTCGTTTTCAATATCTTGTTGACTCATTCCACTTCTTCTTCGACACCATGCTTCCCGTTACACACCAACCCACTTTTGTGCATTTTCACTAAGCCGTTTATAACGACCTCTCATTTGATCTTCGTTCCTGCTATTTAGCTTTTCTGGATTTTCAACCCGAGCGGCATCATACAGTTGCTTTATTTGTGCCCACAATGATGCTTTTTTTTTGGTTTTTTCCACGCTCCTTATCTTCACTAGCAAAACACCATGCTGACATTAAAGCAACATCTTCTGCAGCATCCCATTTATTTCATCGTGGTTGTTTTTCAGTATTTTGTGATGTTTAAAGATTATTTGTGACAGGATTTTAGTTAGGATTTGAAAAAAACGAAGAATTTTCAAAATACTGAGCATTAGAATGATTTTGAGAGTCTCCAAAATTTATATAAAAATTTGGAAACTCGCCATCCATATTTAGAAAATACAAATAAAAAGGGATTAAAATACAAAATGGGGATTGGATATGAAGATATATGATATCATACTCTTTTTATAGGTAAAAAAAATTGCGATTTTCAGTATTTTTTTTTATCTTAAGTGGATAATGTTAAATTTTATTAAATATATGATTTTATCGTAAAAAATATGATGGTTAATTTATAGGAGGACATGTGGATTAAAAGAAAAGAAAAGTAATACCAACTCTATGTTTGATATGCCCACTCCGTCGGTGGCTTTTGTCCCCATTTCTCATTTATTTATTATTATGATTGCAACCAATTTTACTTTTAGTTATGAATGAGAATGGTCTAACAAATACCGGTTGGTTTTGTATTTAAAATATTGTATTTATAATTTTTTTTAGTTTAAGATGATGTTTACTTATGATTTTTTTTTTTTTAGTTTAAAATAATGTTTGTTGGTTTAGATTTAGGGAGTGTTTGAGATAACTTTTTTAGTTTTAAAATTCTTTTTATAAAAGAACTTTTACACTTTTTTTCAAAAATAATGGTTTAAAAAGTATTTAAAGGGGCAAAAGACAAAAGTTTTTTTTAAAAGGCACAAAAATCACAATTTATTACTTATGACTTTTGGAATCAATCTTTTTTTCCTTGCCCAAAAGTTGTTTTAAAAAGAACTTCTCCACTTGCCAAACATCTTTTGAATTTTTTTTTTTAATTTTTTTGGAAAATCGAAAAGTCCAAAAGTTATTTTTAAAGCAATCCTAAGGAGTGAGCAAAAACTGAACCGCAAATCGAAACCGAAAAACCGAAACTGAAATGAAAACCGACGATGTGGTTTTTTAATTTTGCAAAAACCGAAAATGTTTGGTGCGGTGCAGTTTCTAATCTTATAAAAACTGCAAAAAATCGAACCACACCGAATATATATATATATATATATATATATATATATATATATATATATATATATATTAAGTGTTGATATTTATAAGAATGAAGAACTCACGACAATTAAATTTTTTATAAATATAAATATCTATCTTATGAGAGAATGATTATATATTTTTAAGCATATATAGAGATATTGACAAGAACAAATAATCTTTATTATATTATTTAAAATTTGAATATGAAGAGTACTAGTGATGATAATATTATTTTAATAAATATATTAATTGATATTATCATATGTATATGTAAAACAAATATTATATTTTATGCATATTATATTCAAGTATTAAAAACATGTTGGATGAGTAGTTATGTCATTTGAGTTCAATCTAATAAGTGGTGGTATTGGTTCATCTGTATATAAGTAGTTATGTCATTTGAGTTATATTCTTCATTCGAGTCAAAGTAACTCATTGAGTAGTCTGAATTTTAGTAAAAAGGTAAAAAAAAAAAAAAAAAAAAAAAACAACAGAACCACAAAAAACCGCAAAAAAAAAAAAAAAAAAAAAAAAAAAAAAACAGAACCGCATAAAAGCCGAAACGGTGCGGTTTCTAAATTTCAAAAAACCGAAGTTGCGATTTTCAGTTCGGTTTTAACCAAAAACTGCACCAAAACGCACAATGCTCACCCCTACTAAACACCCTCTTAAAAAGTTGCTTGCTAGCTTAGATTAAAAAATTGTTTCTTTATGTAAGAAGCTTTTCTAGTTAGAATATTATTTGTAAAAAAAAATAAATAAATAAATAGCAAAATCTAAAAAAAAAAAAACCAGAAAAATATATTTAAAAAAATAAACCATAAGTTACACGTAGCCCTATCGAAAATACCCATTAGCCGAATTACCTGCTCGATTTTTTTGGGTATCGGGTTAATTTTTTCGGGTAATTGGGTAACCCGATTTTTTTTTTTTCAGGTCGGGTAAAAGGTAAATGTATTGGGTTTCGGGTATACCCAAATTACACGAAATATATATAACAAATAATGGTCCAATATGGCAATATCCCTTTTATCCGTCTCAATTCCCAAATCACAACCCAATTTACTTTACCTCGTTCTATTTTCTCTACATCAAAAAAACCCTTGTCCGCCTCTTCGTTCGTCACTATCGATCAACTTCAGTTGTTCGTCGCCACCTCCTCGCCGGTCATCAGGTCATCGGCTCACCGCCACCTCGCCAATCATTAGGTCTTCATCGGCTCGTCGCAGCATCACTTTAACTCGTCACTACTCCAAGAAAAAATCTCAATTTTCAAAATTTGAGCACGACATACTTATTTCATTAAATTTACTTTTAGGTCCCATTAAAAAAAAATCGGGTATTACCCGAATTTAGTTTGGGTAGGGTAACGAGTAAATCTTTTAACATGAATTACCTGACCTGAATTACCCGAAACCCAAAAAATTTACCCGATAGACACCCTTTAGTTACACGGAAAATTTTTGTGTGAATATGATTTTTTTTTTTTTTTTTTTTTGGTAGAGAACCCTAAACCTTCGATCCCAACGCAAAAGAAAACCACAATATTCTCGCCATCTCCCTCCCTTCATTCCTCGTCAACTCACCGTTTCCGTGCTATATATCTCGACGTTTCCGTGCTATATATCGCCGCTTCAGGTAAATGCGAACTCTGCTCATCCTTACAAGTTACTTTTCCTTGAATCGAATTCAAGATATTGTTCGTGCAGAGTCTAGATCCTGAACCAAATAAATACTGCTCTGTTCATTTGAAAATAAGCTGGATTAGGTTTATGTTTTGGAGTACAAAATTGCGAGGGGATTTCTTTATAGATTTAAGAAATTGTTCAGAAAAGTCTATATGTCATTTGTCACTTAAATCATCTTTGTCACACAATCTAACCTAATCCTTTTGTAGCTACTTGACACTAAACATGGTTGGATGATGCGTAGTCTGTGTATATTGGTTTCAGTAGTTAGCATCTCATATCTGTGTTTGGATGCCATTAGTATTTAAAATGTCTAATTTGCCCCTGCTTAAGTTTTTTTTAACCTTCCTTTCAGTTCCATGCAGCAAACATGATCTTAGAAAGGGCATGACTTGTTAGGTTCAAAAACATATCATTTGAAATAAGCTCCTGAATGTTAGTTGAAATCCTTCAGATGTATGCAGTATGCTGATAGTATTTCTAGTATTACAGAAATTTGAATTTGAAAAAAGATTGTTGTTGCTATGTTTTTGGGGATCTGTAAAATATCATGTCAAGATTTTTTTTTGTTTGTTTAGATTCTCTAATTGTTTGTTGACATCTAGTTAAAGCTTGAAATTGCCTATATGTTTTACAATTTCTCTCATGGGAGATGATAGTGGATTTTTAGTTGTTTTGAGAATGGTATTTGATGTTGATTTGTTCGTGGATTACTTAACTGAAATTTAATGGATTTTAGTTAGACAACAATAGGGATGTTTATGTGCGTAAATCAAATGAAAACAAAGGTGTTGTAGGTTAAATGAATAAATTGGTTCAATATTTTTCTTTTTGCACTCGAAAATAGCTGGAAAAAATAGGTTATTCTATATCAATACTTGACTATATCCATATCCATGTTGGTTAAAGCAACCAAATTTAGCACTAATTAAGCTATATAATGGCCTTTGAACAAATAAATCAAAGTCAAAGGCTACAAGACACATATAAACATTAGGTTTAATCTCATAAAAGACTTTATATTTTGTGTTTATTCCAGATTAAACCTCAATTTTTTTTTTCTCCGAAAAAGACCTTGTGTTTTTTCATTTTTTTCCGATCGGGCTCTTTTAGACATTTTTTTCCAAAAAAATTGTAAAATGCGAAGGTTTTTTCGAGAAAAACAAAAAAAGCTGAGGGTTTATTTGAAAGCATTTAGAAGGTTGAGGGTTTGTTGGAAAAAATACGAAGTTAAGGGCTTTTTCGGAAAAAATGAAAAAAATAGGTCTTTTTTAGGCAAAAAATAAATTTGAGGTTTAATCCGAGAAAAACACAAAATATAAGGTCTTTTATGAGATTAACCCTAAACATTATCCATGATATAGCTCCAAATTCAAATCGAAACTATAAGAATGGGAGTAAAATTGGCATATTAAGACATTTAGCGTTCATATAATGAACTTTAAACATTTTTAGGCGTATGAATTCACATGGCAAAGTTTGGAGATGCATATGTAATGCATTATAAATTTATAATTTCTCAAATTTTATTTATTGAGGTTTAAATTGTTTGTTGAGATTTAAGTTGCATATTAAAAATGTTAATAATTTGGATTTTATGTAGATGAACTTTTCACGAGATCTAATGAGGAAAGCCAGTGAAACCAACTTTCATAACCAATAGCGTAGTTCTTAGACAACACGATGATAAAAACCCGAGATAAGTAGAAACGCAAAATATCAATACCTTCTTGGATGATGAAGAGATTGAAATAGGAAAATATCTGAAACCAGAATTGGAGAGTGCAATTAAGGCATCTCGGTCTTCTATTATCGTGTTGTCAAAGAATTACGCTACTTTCAACCATATTGTCAACCCAATCTTTTATCACGTGGAGCCCACCCGTGTCAAGAAGCAACAAAGTAGCTTCGGAGATATAATGCCTAACCATAAACACATGACCGAGGCAGAGACAAATGCATATAAAAGGAGTGAATTCGCTTATAGAAGTTACTAAATTAATAGGAAATGATGTTAATGGAAGGTAACCACTTTCTTACCTGTATTTTCATATGCCTATAGTTTTGTTTGATTAACTCATGAAGTGTTAATATCACCTTCTCCTTATGCATTTCAATAAGTTTCCTCAATATCATTAAATAGGCATATATTTCATTGTTAAGGATAAAGAAGATGCACAAAATATAATCTTTCCTCTTATGTTATGCAGTTATATATGAACCTTAGTTATGGAAAGGTCCGGGGTGTTGGGGTAAAATTGTGCAATTTTCGGGGGTTTTGTTCTGTAAAAAAGTATATCACATTATTGGTTTGTCCCAAAATAATTGTCCATTTCTAAAAATAAATAACATTTTTACCGAAATACCCCCTCAATATTACTTAACCAACTAAGCATTTAATGGAACATTAAATGCAAAGTAAGGACAAAACTGTCATTTTATTGTATAAAGTTAGTGGTAATTAATGTTTTTTTAATCTGTGTTTTTTGTTGTCGGACAATAATTTTGGGACGGAGGGAGTATTATACAAACCTTATTATTTCAAAAAATAGATTTAAAACGTCCAAACCATCAAGCTAATAATACAAGTAACCATCAATATACTAGTAATAAATTTTAAATAGTATAAATTATGTAACCTTAGGTACAAACACAATATGCATTTTTTTTTATCTGTAATACCTTAAACACCGATTTAGTTGAAATAGACCCGTTATAGCTTCGAGCTGATATGCATGTATGGTATACGGTATTTTGAGGAAGTCATTTTTTTTTTTTTTTTTTTTTTTTTTTTCAAATCAGTCATGCTGATGCATTAAAAGAGGAATTCAAAATTTTGAATATTAGGCCAAATCTTGACTCTATCCCTGTTATATCTCCATCTTTACACTTTACAAGTTCCCTTTGACCTCGCACACCAATATCTCGATTCTTCCCAATTTTGAGTTGAAATTGAACGATCCACTGCTCTTCTCCCCAATACGCCACAACCAATGCAGGCCTCTCTCCAGGAATTAAGACACAAGGTTGCACCATTGCTCCTCCTTTGTAAGTCGATTTCATATTCCATTTTAAATGATTTATTGTTTTTGGCAGGTTATTTGGTAGTTGCAGAGGGAGAAAAAAATAGGATTGGATATGAGATGAACATCATAGTTTGTTGTAGGCTCTTCTAAGACATTGAGATAAAGAATTGGATATGAGATTAACATGTTTTCTGACCAATTTTGATTTTTTTTTTTGGATTTTACTTAGGAATCGAGTGGATGGTCTGTCATGGATCAAGTAGATGTTGCTACTTTCTATTTGAGAATGTCGTATCACCAACCAAAAAATATATTGTTAATATAGTTGGCTGTTGTTGCTGCTTTGTATGTACATAGTTGTGAAAGCTATCACCAAAAGAGAACAATTCAAGAAAGGAAACACTCATTTTCCACCTTATATCATTGTCTTCATATACAAAAGGTTCTAATTTTTTTGATATAGATAGCATCAGTAGTTTAGCACCCTTAATGGACAAGTAAGAGTTTGTACCCTCATTTTCATTTAAGTTTCTTATTTTTTGTTTACTGCAATTATAATAGAAATTACGGATGATAAACGTACGAGTTTTATAATGGTTTTAGAAATTTGATTGATTTTGGGAGCAATCTTTGAAGTTTGTAGACCTAATTATAAATGAAATGAAAGTGTGTTTTTATATATTTGGTGTCCGTACAAATTTTTGTCTGTTTGTATCTCCTATCTCGGTTTACTTTTGTGTCTACTATATTTTAATACATAATTGGTTATAGAAAATCGATCATTTAAAAGTTGTCATACAATTTGCCTATAACTGAACAAGCATGGTTGCACTTATAAATTTTTGTTGGTTATATATATGCTGATATGGATTAAAAGGACGTCAAATAAAGATACCAACAACTAAACCCACAGATCATATAAAAAGCACCCATGGCTAGACCTAAAATTGAATAACTATTTATCAACCACATGAAATCTAACACCCCACTCCCGAGTTCATTTTAAGGAGAGAAAAGAAAGAAAATTTGTGGAAATGAGAGGAAAGTAAAAGAAATTGGTGTTCTTGAGTTTCATTAAAGGAAGGAAGTGGAAAGAAATGAAATGATCACTTTCCCTCCTAACTTTTCTTCCGATTTAGAAGGATTTTGAGAGGAAGAACAAAATGTTTAATTTTCCTTTCATTTTTTTCCAACTCGGGAACACAAAAGACGAATTTTGTTTCCTTTCTTTTCTCTTATTTTCTCTCCTTATTTTCTTTTCTCTTCTCTTCTTTTCTTTGCTACAACTCGGGAACGAGGTATTTTATATATATATGAATGTCATTTGAGAACTTATAGTTTCTCGATAACCAAATGAGGGCCGTTAGATTAAAATAATAGAAGGCTGAGATGTTTTGTGACATTTTTGTAAATATTTGAATAACTTAAACACGGGGGTATCAGATTGAAATTAATCGAAGGGCATTTATAGTACTGGAATCAGATCTTTCTCATCATCGTTCTTTCTCTCTCAGCTTCATCGTTGTTTGTTCCAATCCAGAACCATCATCCAAAATCGATATTATCACTCATCAAATCTCTTTCTCTGTCTCCATCCGAAGTCGCTTTTGCATTCACACTGACAATGAAGTTCGTCTAGTAAGTACCAACATCCTCTACTGATTATTTGAACTTTGTTGAGAATTGTAGGCTTCTTATCCAATGTTTTGAGTATTTTTCCTTTTTGTCTTTGGTTGATTTTGACTGTATATGTTTTTGATGAAGTATAACAACGAGACAGTTTCGATGGATCTCAAGAATGAAACTGTTTTCACTAGACAATCACAAAGCTTTATCGACTTTGTTTATATTAACTCTTCACTGTACAAAGTTGGTGTAGTAAAACAAAACCATGTCCGTTTATCTATTTCAATATGTTTTAACAATTTGTTTATTATTTTCAACCAATATTGTAAAAGGGATAAAAGTGTATTCAAGGATTTGAATGAGAAACCTTATGTTATTGAGTTGGATGAAAGTGGTGAGTGGTTGGTGACATTACGTTATAATGCTATCCATATTTGACATTACGTGTGAATCACATGTCATTTATATGTGATTCACATATGAATCACATGTAAACCACTTATGAATCACATGTGATTCACATGTAAATGACATGTGATTCACATCTGGATCACATGTGATTCATATATAATTCACATATGAATTACATTTAATTCACATGTGAATCATATAATGTCTGGTTCCTGGTATGTATTTAATTCAAAATTTTATTCACTTTTGTATAGAAACTCGACGAGTTGGAGGACCCAAACTCGTCGAGTAGGAGTGGAATTGGTCACGAATGATAAAGTCTACTCGACGAGTAGGACTAGCAAAGTGAAACCCTAATTTTCAGGGTTTTGTACCTTATTTAAACACCTTAACCTCCAAAGGATTGCCTCATTTATAGCCTCCAAGTCCCAAACCCTAAATCTCGAAACCTTAATGCCTTGTCTGAGCTTGTGAGTCATTCTTGAGAGAAAACTTTTGCATTTGAAGCTTGTGGAAGAAGAAGAAGGTTTAGGACTCAAGAAGAAAAGAGTAGATCCAAAAACTTCACTCTATTTGCAGCATTTTCTGGTAAGCAAGTCAAACTTGCTTAATGATTTCTTAGATCTCTTCATTGTCACTTTTATTGAGTTTTTTGGTCCAAGTAGCATGGTCCGTGGAAAATGGACATCCCAAGTGAGTATACTTCCAGATCAATGACCTTCAAGGGCTTTCATGGAATAAAGGTGCAAACTTTATGGCCATTGAACCCCCATGAAAGCTCTAGGATGTCATTTTGGCCTTTTAAGTCCCAAAGGCCATGCGTGGAGAGAAAGACAGAGACTTTACGTGTTCAAATGGTTTCTAGGGTCTAGATCTTAGTTTGTATGCCTTAGCTTGAAGTATAAATGTAACGTCCAAAAAATCAGTACCGAAAATTTTCTTTAAATCATTACCAAAGTCATATTCATAAAACATATCATAAGTCATAACATGAATTCAGAGTATCATTTACAAAACATATTTTCACTATCAGAGTAAAACATCCCATGCTAACTAATCAAAGGTGTGTGCCATGCTATCACCCCGAGCTCTTCCCTCCGATACTAGAAGTACCTGAAACCAAAACTAAAAACCATAAGCACGAAGCTTAGTGAGTTCCCCGACCTACCACATACCCTGATAAAAACACATACATCACATACTAGGCCACACTCGCTACCTCGGGCCTCGCCCGCTACAACGGCCCCACCGCTCCAGGCCCCGCCTGGCTTCGATCCCCGATCGGATACAGATCTGTTTCACTCAGGCCTCTCCTGTCACTGGGCCTCGCCCACTAATCATATAATAGCACATAAACATATCACAACACATAAGCTAAACATATACTAATGAATCCTGTCCTAAGGCCTCGCCTATCTTGTGCCTCGTCCCTGACCTGCTGCTGATGAGTCATGGAACCCCATCCACGCCCTTACTGGTGGTGAGATACGGGCCCAGCCCACACTCACTCATTCCCTAACTTGGGGCCCGCCCCTGCTCTGCTACTAATGAGATGTGGAACATCGTCCACACTCTGCTATTGGTGAGATGCGGGACCTTGCCCACACTCACCACCCTACCAGGAACATACAAGTATCACACAGACAACAAGTATACTCTATCATGCAAACCATTCCTTGGGCACCCGCCCGCTATCAATGGACCTTGGTCCTAAATATCATACTGGCATACAGTGCCTAGGGCTAACCCCTGGGTCTTCCTACTCATATCT